GGTCGGATTAGTTTTATGTTTGATTTGAAGTCATGTTTGAGAATCCATGCTGATGAGAGATAAGTAGTAGAGCACTAGAAAAAAGACTTCACCGTTACAGATTACTAGGAAAAAAAGTTTACATCTAAAGAAGTCTTTTATGTGTCCTGGATTAAGACTGTTAGAGCAAATCAGCAAACGAAATATCACGATGCATGAACTTAAACTTGCTTGATAACATTGTTGTAGAGTTTCTATGCGTATATTTTAACTTATTAAAGTTGGAACAGGTAATTTTGTGGGACTGTAATCAGTTGCTATGAAACTTGTTGCATTTTCTGTTGATCTGAAATGTTTATGATTAGTTTAATCAGTTTGATTTTTATAAATCAATGAAAGATAACCCTCGTTTATTGTTTTAGTAAGAGAGGTCTGAGAAGTATTGGAATTTTAACTCCATTATATAGGATTTAAATTTCCAAGGAAATAAAAAGACTTTTTTTATGAACTTAGATTTAATTTCACTTTTTATTAAAGAAAAAGAAATGACAAGTAAACTTTGGTAAAGGAGACAGCATAGAGAGTACATTGATAGCCAACCTGCCATGCATTTAAACTGAATTATGTAAGAGGTAAGAGGAGTGCCGACATCCTTACTATTTCATATTGTTTGTAATTTCATACATTAGATACTTAAGATTCTTAAAACTAAGTGATTTCAATTACTAAAGCTTTCATGAAACATTAAAACGAACAGGAAGATGATGATAACGACAAGAAATTCCACGAAAACGAAGAAAAAAAGGAGTCAAACCTCCATATAAGCCTGAAACGCCCTTATCAAAACACCATAATGATAGCAAAAGTAAAAGATCAGAGGTAGATTTATTATGTGTGTAAAACGAATTTGGTCGTTGGTGATTAATTTGGAATTATACAATTTTTAGAAGTTCTATATATCCGGGGAAGTTTTTTCAACTAAACTTAATTCATTTTTCAACGTTGAATAGTGAGACCAAAGGTGTTGAATTTAGACCCCAGACCGTTGAAAAGTGAGCCGGGTCGTGGAATTTTGATCATGAAACCGGTTCAAAATTTAACAGCATGAAAACACATATTTATGACTTGGTTTTCACAACTGTGATTTACTTCATAGTCGTCGGGAACGGGGAAGGGGGAGGTGGAATTAGGGATGCTTACCCTTTTTTGCAAAGATAGACACAATATAGGCATTGAATAATGTGAAATTGGCTAAGTTCCCCCCTACTTTCTACAGGCATGTTACAGCAAAGTAAAAAAAAAGAAGAGTAAGTGGAAGTGTTTAAAAAAAGAAATTGGATCCTACCCCACCCCCCCCCCCAACCCCACTCCCACCACCCTCATAGTATTTTCGTGTTAAGACTACTAGTTTGGACAATGGAATTTTTTTTTCTTGTCAATTTTTTTCAGGTTTGAATTTTTCTTTCTTCTTCAATTAGCCCCCCTCCCGCACTTTCAATTTCCTTCCGACACCAATGTAATCAATGCACACATAATTCTCTAATTCAGTTTGTTCTTAGAATAAAATGTTTTTAAAAAATATCTTAGATTCCAAGGTTACATGTAGCTTAATATCGCAATATTTCGTGTAATATTTCTTTAAAAAGAAGCACAATTCTATCTGTAAATCCTGAATATTAGTAAACATAGTGAAACAATTTACAATTTAGTTGATACATTTGTTTATTTATAAACATTTTGATAACAACACGTCATTTATTTTAATTTTAAAAATCCTTATATTAGTATTTGGAAAATGGCGTGAGCTTAAGCATGATGCACGAACGTTTTCATGCTTATTTATTTATGCACAACATTAATAGCTTATATAATGTCCAACTTGAAAAACTGATTTTTTTTTCAAAATAAACGTTTTAGTAATCTTTTTCGCATAGTTAATACATGTAAAAAAGTTCAAGAACGAACCTTACAATAAATACATATTTATTTGTTAAGTAGAGGATGTAAAAAGGGGGTAATCTCCCCGTTTGGGATTATTATTTTTTTCTTTGTGTCTGGGGTGTTTTCTTCATTTTTGAAGTCTTTTTTTATCAATAAATGTTTGCCTTAGATACACAACCCTAACTTTCAGCGTTTTTTAATATTTGTAATAAAGTAGCCAAAATATAACATTTAAACCCCCCAACCCCACCCACAAATCGGGGAGACACAGGATAGTTTGTGAGGAATTTTGAAGCGGCCATTTCATCCAATTAGAGAAACATGGGTTGGTTTTCAACAACGGCTATTTTCCCTTTTCATTTTTTGTTTCTTGTTTGTTTATTGCGTTTCGTTTACTGGTACTTATTTTGTTTATGTTTTTTTGATCACAATATATCAGAGGGTTTTGACACCATACTCTCGAATCCGAGAAAAACTTTAGGATCCTCTCTCTCTCTCTCTCTCTCTCTCTCTCTCTCTCTCTCTGTTTCTTTGAAGAGGAATTCGCTTTTTTAGTTGTTTAGATCAAAGAAGTTGCAGGGACGGCGTTATTTTTTTAATTGTTGATATCAAAGATGGTGGGAAGTGTAGCTTCTAGTCCATCCCATACTCTAACTCTAGTTCTCATTCTCAAGAAAATGCCCCGAAAACGATCGATTTTTAGGCCGAGGTAGGCCCCTGACAGATATGTTTGTTACAGGGATTTCACCAACCTTGTTTAAAGTCAGCATTACTTACAAGGTATGGTCTCTATATTAATCTTTTCACAAATATAACCTACGTTGGATTCATTTTAACCAATGTGTTTCATGTTAATTTTTAGGCTTTTAATTTTTTTAATATTTATACTGCATTTGACTAGATGGGATGTTCTGCCCACTTGATCACTATAATACGGCTCACTTTCTAGACACCAGATTTCCAGGATTTTTGTTATATGCCCTATTCATGGTTCTGTACATGTAGTTATTTATGGATTTGGATTTTAGAAAATATTGTCAAAAACTAGAGGTACTGTGAGCGATGAGCTCACTAAATGATACCCCCGCCTCCACATAGTTATTATGGCAAAGTCCATGTTTTGCTGTGGCCGGGAAACCCAAAATATGTGTCAGATCAAAAAGTAAAATAGGAGGTGCACAATAACAATATGTAATAAAGATTCTGTGAAAGTTTCATCAAATTTCATTCAGTGGTATGAGAGGAGTTGCGGATAAGATATGGGTACCCCAAAGCGTAACGGACGGACGGACAGACGGACGGATGGACAGAATTAACGATTACTATATACCCTCCCGCTTTTCAAGCGGGGATATAATAAAGTTGTCATACTTGAAGATAACTGAAATCGTGTATCAAAATGTAGATATATATACACGGGATGATAGGTTTATTTCTATTATTCTTGAAAAGGGGAAAAAATTGAAACCGAAATATAAATATAGAGATACTGATAAATCCCATAAAACAACTTCCCAGTTCAAAAAATGTTCAAGCTCTGAGGTGGGGTCAAAATTCAACAGGGTCTATTTTTAACTCGTTGAAGTCATCGGGTATAAGAAAAAAAAATATCAAGCAGTTAAAAAATGACCCCGGGTATAAATTCAACGACTTTTGGTCTCAAATTTCAACGTTGAAAAAATACCCCTGGTTCAATATTCAACGTTGAAAAATGAACCCCGGGTCAATTTTCAACTGGGGTCAATATTCAACGTTACACCGGTTAAGTATCAGTCACATTATCCAACGATGGGGTATACGATGAGAAACCGATGCGTTTTTTTTTATGAAAATGACGTGGTTGCCGGCCGGGCAGCGCTAGTGATCGGACGGTGACTGAGTCTTTATTAGCGAATCGGTGGGGTCATCGGTAGGAAATAATTCGTAGTTAAAATTCAGCGATGTCTCCAACCATGCCTCACATCGCTCTTCATCGGCAACCCATCATTAACACATCTTTCAAGGATCGGCCGATGTATGGCCGAGCATCGTCCGTTGAATCTGAGGTCATCGGGGAGTTTAGTGGTGTTCAAAAGATAGAAATCAATCATTGGTCGATGTTCGACCAAACATTGGCCCGTAGTCGACCGATATACGAACATTGTTCACCGAATATCCTGGAACATCCTTTTATGATTAGCAATGCATCGCTGGGCCTTTGTAAATCCGGCCGGCAACCACGCCATTTTCTCATAAAACGCATTGGTTGTCCATCGTATACCCCATCGCTGGATAATGTGACTGATACTTTAAGGACTACTTGGCCGATGTGGACCGATAATGGGGCATCATTAACACCACGGATTACTATCGATTACCACCGGTCTACGGCTACCGGTCGGGAAATGTGACGTAGGCATTACTAGAATTCCTTGCGATATATTTTGAACCACAGTAACAAACAAATATATCTTTTTCTAAGCACATCTTGGGTTCACAAGAAGACGGTGAATTAATTTAAATGACTTTTAAAATTAATGAATTTTAATTTCTTAAAATTGTCTTTCAGGGCTGCGCGGCAGAAATTAATGCGAGACATTTCAAAAATTATAAATAACCGTCTCACGATGTGCGTAGTCATTGCAAAAACTAGGTTACTATATATCCCTGCGAGAACCTTCTGTATAAATCAGCTGCACTTATGTAAAACGATCACAAATGAATAATCAAATCAGATATTGCTATGTTATATTATTTTTAAAACGCATTTTAAACCTTCGGGAAACCTTAATCTTAGCAACATGTAATGAGGGTTTCCTCTAAAATGTTTTGTGTCAAATGACCTGTAAGATTGATTTCTTATTCATTTTCTTCTTATTTCAGGCAGATAATCAATAAAACATGTAAAACGCAGAGAATCTGAAGTTGTACACATTCACAGTTGAATTAGATAAAAAGTGTGGTTTGCATATAACTGATTTAAAGAAATTTAAGAGCACTATCTTCACGCAACAAAAGAGCATTCTCTTAAAGAGATTTTTTTAATAACTCATTTGAAAACATTTCAAGCAAACATGTTTTTATTATAATTGCACCAAAGGCTGGAATTTTCATACCAGCTCCTATCAAATGTACAAAAGGAAAAGTACTTTTACGAAAGAAGTTTTATCTTACAAAAATAACATTTTAGAAAATGGAAGTGTTCTAAACTACTACAAGTTCCAAAAATACTAGTATATTTTATTATTTTATAGATAATGTCAATGTTATCGTAATCACTCAATTAGATGTTTATGCAACCAAAAGGAACTACATAATAATGTCCCTAAGATTATCATAGTGCTTTAATTATGGATCATTCACTACATTGCATTATGATTTATTCTTTATGATTTATCCTGGTTTCAATCTCGTCATAGTAAAATACCATTTCTAAAAAAAAATATAGTTACATCGATTTTTTTTAAGCATCGATCTATATGAAATCTAGATTGCCAAATTCGGTCTTTCATTTAATCATGTACATGTATAGGTATTTGTATTTGTTTTGTGTATGATAACATGATACCAAATAAATATATACATACTGCTACTACTACTACTGCTACTACTTTATTATACTTATCATCTGTAATTGAATGAAACATATCACGAGACACATTGAATAATATGCTATCAAACTAAACCGGAAGAGATCAAAATGTGTTTCATAAAATGCACAAAGAGCACTTCCGATCTTGCATAAAATGTGGTGTTTAACTTCTTCTATTAAGGGTTATGAACTTTAATTTCAACAAGAAGTAAAACTATTTCTTTGATGCTGAACCTTGTACATTGTATTAAGTGCATGCACATATATTTTTTAAGCGTATGCTGTGATTCTACGAAAAAAAGTCCCACATTAATTCACCAATCACAAGAGCATTTAATATTAACAGATCTTTTACTTTTCCATTTCAGCATTCTAATGATTCAATTTCTACTATTATTATTATTGGACATTCGTATAATGCATACAATTGCATAAAATTATGTAAAGGAAACATAAAGAATCTTTCTTTTCAACTGAAACGGAACTGCATGTTTATTAATCTTTTGTCCCTCTTTCTTGCTTAAACATCTCACATTTGATTTGACTGATTTGCATGATGTTGGAATTTCCATTAATCTTTTTCTGTTCCGTGCTACGACGAAACAACTTTGTTTATGGGTAATTTATCCGGGAATGATCTTAAACAGTGTCAGTTTGGGGACAAGATAATGTTACAAAACTGAGATAATTCTAATTTTACCTATTATTTTATGTATTTGCTAATGGAATGAAGAAAACAATTCTTACATATCAAGTAAAGATAAGCAGAATTTAATGTTGTTGTGTGAAAATCTAAGAAAATTAATAAACCAAAGATTGAACAAACTGCTTCTGAAAAAAAAATCAAAAGAATGTAAAAAAGAATGTAAATTTATTTTAAGAGCAGCATTTGACAATTTCGTTAACAGTGCATATCACAATGTATTCTTATATGGAAGTGTTAAATGTTTAAGTAATACAATGTATTAGGAAATCAGTGTTTTCGGAGAGGTGGATGGGATGTTAAATTAAAATGTTCTTAGTATGCCGAAATTCTTTCAATCTTCAAAGTTTTTTGCAATATCATCAATATTACATCACATCTTTTCTACTTAAAAAACCCTATACATGTATCAGAATTGCGGGTCATTGCTGAATATTTTAGAAAATGTCGATACACACAGCAAACCATGTGGGGTAGCCGATTCTAAGGCTAAATAATGATGGATAACCGCCTTTGTTTTTAACAATATGTATTTTTTTTATCTTATTTAACCCCTCCTTGTAAAGTTCATTTTTTTTTCAAAATTTAAGTGAATATTCAGGTAAATGTATAAAATAAACAATTTATTATGATCATCATTAAAAATATCCTAATCAGACATTTAGCCTATTTTAACAAATTGAAAAAAAATAATACGAGGGGCGATCAAAAGTTCGCGAACTATCTCTATATCTACGAAACCACAATTCAGATCTGAAAATAAATTGGTACACTCATAGCCATAAGAGAGTTTAATAAATAACATATGCTGAATAAAGTTTTGCTCCTTGTGTGTGTCATCACAATGTGAAAATGTTTATGTAGGTCACTTGTAACGAAAATTTGTTGTTTCAGTCCTCCTAGTTCAACAAACGACTGTAAAGTGTATTGTATATCTTAGAAACATTTTTGCAGTAGCGTTAAATAATTTGTGCACATTTTTTTTTATGAGAAATGACTTCCTTATAAATTATAAATTCAATCAATGATTTGATTGATCGTTAAAATGAAGGAAGGTAGATGCTTAAAAATAATACTTGTATTGTGCCCAGTGAAAGCAAGTTTGAAAAGAAATGTCTTTTTAATTAAGCAATTTGCTATCAAAGACTCTAATTTATACACTTTGAAAAATAGTTGAATATTTCAGTAATAATATAGATATTAAATACCTAATATATCATTAACTTTAGATTTTAATTGTATATAGAAATTTGTAAAATAGTTTGCGAACTTTTTGATCTTCCTTGGTATTATTACAAATAATACAACTTATTTACATTTGCTTACGTCTACCTTTCCTCATGGAACAATGCAATATAAGAGAAATTTAATTTTTAATGACATGCAGTTGGTCACATGATCAGACTTCCTTGCGTTTAAAATGTAATATTGTAAAATAGTACTCCGAACGTTTCAATCTATACAGAATCATTCCACATCATAAATCAAAGTCAAGCCTTTTTTAAATTATTGAAGAAATGCTTGAGTTTTTAAATGAGAATATCTATGTTGCTTTTGGAAACCAGGTCTTCCAACAATGTATTATAATTTTTGTTGATATCAATCAGTACTAATAAGAAAATAAAAGAAATGCACTAGAAGTTAGATAAACTAGGCAAAAAAATGTTAATTTCTCTTTTTATACGCAGTGCAGTTAAGGCTACAAATAGGGGCGGAGCCTATTGTGTACGGAAAAGGTTAACTATGAAATCTTACAAAACGAACAAGTCTTAAAAATACTAGTACCATAAATAAAAGGATTTGCTATTTTAACCTGTAGGAACCAGCAAACTGGAATCCGATAGAATTGACCTACACAGAAGTATTTGTAGAGACACTGTGGAACGACATTTTAGGTGAAACTGAAATAAATACATGTTTTAAAGCCCAGAAAGACCAGTTGGGGTACAACGTAAACAAACCGTAGTGACAATCTTCTCTCTCTTGTACGAGGGGCGTTCAATAAATAATGTCATCAGGGCTCGGTAAGAAACAAAAATCGCTTTTCTATTATTTTGTCTTAATGATTTAACTAAAATATTCTCTTTTAATTAAAAGACATGTCCGTAACATTTTTATTCAATTTCTAATTGTTTTTAGAACAAAGTATAGAGTATGACCCTTCGTATACTAGAAAATGGCAGATCCTATGATTTGTTGTGCTTGTTTTTCTCTCTGAAAGGTGTTTTCCTAAGTTTGGGAAATGAAACAAGTCAAAGATTGAAAGATCTGGCGAATATTGTTGATGTGACAAAACATTAACTTTCTGTTTACCCCAAAAATCCTTTACTCTTCATGGCCTGTGGGTTTGGACGCTGTCAGTAAGAAATTTAATGTAGTGAATTCCTCATTCTGTTTCCTTCCTCTCATAAACCTTTCAATTTTTTGGCAAATAATTTACTTACTAGACTCCTCCAGACATTGAACTGCCTCCCTATATATGTATTTGAACAACAAGACCGCTAATTTTTAAGAAAATAGCGTAAAAAATGTTTTTGTGTTCTTGCAAATTTTTGCTCTTCTTAGGTCTTTGCAGTTTTGTCAAGTACATCTTATTCTAAATTTGTTCTGAGGGTTTAACACAAAATTGATTCAAGTTTCATGATCTGTTTGAATTTCAGAAAAACGTTGAAAAGAACAATTTTTGATTTTTTAAAAATAAATTGTTTAGATACATGTATTCTACACGCTCTGGTTTTCACTCATATTTATAAATATAGGGTGACATTTGGTTATTAAACTTTTTACAGTCAAATGTTTCTTTAAAACAGTGTGAAATACTCCCAATATGATGTCTATCAAAATTGCTAAGTAACGTAAAGTTAATAAAACATAATGTGTGATAATTTGTTGAATTATCGATAATATAGATTGGTTGTTTTATGTCCTTGTTAAGAAGGAGAGTACCCATTTTTGATGACCATTATATAATTTTTGTTCATTGAAATCCACCTGTTCACGTGTGTATGAAACAGGCATAAGTTGCTGTAAATTTCACATATTTCAGTTAATATATTTTGGGGAAATTAACAAGTTTTACAGCAGCTTTAATGACGCGTTTAATTTTACTCTAATTTACTGATTCTTGACCATTCATTTTTAACGCAGTGTCTCGAGTAGCCCTTGTTTTCCAGCTTCCCACTATGAAATTTTGCGATGAAAAGTGGTCACATAAACTGTTATCCATTAATTAAAGGTTCAATAATTAGAAAAAGTCAAGCTTAATGTCATATGATTTCTATGTTGTATGTCATGGAGCTGATGACATTATTTATTGAACGCCCCTCTTAAAGTAGTATGTGGTAATTTCTATGTAGCGATCATGTTCCGGTTTTTACGATGCATTCCTATCTGTTAACATCTGCAAGATGTACAAGTTTTAAAAATATAACATTCAAGAGGAAATGTAAAATTTTCCCCCGGGCTGAATATCAGGGTGGAGGCGGGGTCCTGTCGTCAAATATCTTTTAGGGTAAAAAATATTCTCAGGGAGATGAACATACCTTTTGATCAATTTACATCAAAACACAAGCAAAATTCTTTTCTCATTCTGAAGAGAGGAGCACATCGTCCTCCAACTATCTGCAAGAAAAGAAATGTTAAATAAGATTAAATGAATAAAAAAGTTAAACTTTATCTATAAACCAAAGTGTATCCATATTTTAGAAATCAATTGCACAAAGAGCGGAAATAAACAGACGTGCTTAAAGATTTACATTAGCAAATATTTTCCTTTTTATAACACTACTGAAAGCAATAACTGTTTAAATATAGGTACGAGTCAAAAGGTCATATATGTGGGTATGGATAAACGTTTGACGTTATTTCTCAGTGACGTCATAAAGGGTCGATGCGCGTTAGGTGGATTACATACATGCCGTTGGGTTTGAAAGAAAATAATGCATTTGAAACGTTAAAAGTCACAATCAGGCAAATTTAAAGTATGAATAAGTCACAAATGTAAATATAAGTATAAAGGTATCATTTTAAAACATTTTTTGGGTTATAAACAAGAACTGGTATCAGATTAATTTCATCATAAAAGCACTTCGGACTTTATGGAATTTAATCTCGTGACCAACACGTATTTATATACCTTATTTCTTAAATGAAATGACAAAAAAAAAAAAAAAAAAAAAAAAAACACCTGTAACATATCTCGTTCAAGTTTTTCTTAAAATAAGACTCTTTTATAAACTCTCGTTATAGAACCTTTTTTTAAGGTAGACCTTATTTACAGCAATCTCACTATGCATGCTGTATGTTTTGTAAAATTCTAAACGCATCAATAAGGAAGATATGTCACTGAATTTAGGATATAAGTATGTTAAATTATCACATTTGAAAAGTTAACGGAAGAAAATTAGTCATTGATATATGCATTGCATGCATTTTCATATGTACATGCTTTTTTCCATTTTAGGAATTGACACTAGCTTGGTCTTAGACTAGTCTTAAGACCAGTCTGATCGGGTATTGAATTCATAGGATAGACACAGGCAAAGCCGAAACTGTGAGTATCACGTGTAAAAATTTTTTTTTCTGAACATAAAATACCTATTCCATAAAAATAAGTAGTTAGGGTCCACCAAATAATTTTCCAGAATAAATGCGTTGTTTTCATAAATTGTAGAAAATTACTAGAAAATTCTTCAATAAAAACATTCTTAAAGTCAAATATTTGCTGTACATTTAGTGAAACCTTGTTTTCTTTCTGAAATCCATTGTCAATTCACATCATTCAACATCTTATTAAATGAGCGAAACCTTGTCACACTGTATAATAGATTGAAGGAACTATCTATGCATTTTCAATAGTCTAAGAATAGCAGCTTGTACACTGTTTAGTTCAATTTAGTTAGAACTAATTATCCTTTTAAACTATTTTACATTGTATCAACTGTGTGATTAGATTTTTATATGTCCAGAGAGGTATTTTTTTCTTTACTGTATTTTTCCTTCGAAAAATGTGTGATTGCATTCCTTTATTTGAGTGGAAAACACTCCCATTTGTGCCGCCGGTCATTAGATGTTTCCTATAATTGTTTTTAAGGGCAGCACTGCAGCGATTAATGTGAAACATTTTTAAAAAAATGAATAACTGTTTCGTGACATACGTATTTATATATAGCGAATAAGTTACTATTTATAAACGATAGAATCTGAACTCTCTGTATGAAACAGGTGTATTTATCTACATAGCTAACAAATGAAAATCAAAACAGGCCTTGTTATGTAATATAATTTAGGAAAAAAACATGCTTAAGCTTCGGGATACCTTAACCTTAGCAACATATAACGCGGGTTTTATCTAAAATGTACTGTCTCAAACGCCTTGAAAGATTGATTAATTTTGTTTTATTTTCTATTTCATACACGACACAATACTTAGGCAATCTGAAATTGTGCAACAGTTGAAGTAGATGAAAAAAGCATGCATAACATATATAACTTACTTAAAAGAAAATAATGATAAGTTTGAAGAGCTTGTGTAGACAGATTGCACTTATTATCTGCAATTAAACGAAAGATATAAAGAGAGACATTGATTAACATTAATAATATGCAAACAACCAAACTAGAAGAGATGCATGTCATAATGTGTTTAAGAAAAATGCACAAAATACTTCCGATCTTGCATAGAAATGTGACATGTATTTCTTTCTTAATGGTTTATAAACTGTAAGAACAAACGTCAGAAAGTACAATATACGCCCTGTGAATTTCTTAAAAAAAAACAAATCATCGTTTTCTTGAAAACTATTTGTGGCTTCCGTATTTGCTCGACTTCGTCAATGCAGGGGTGGGTAGTTTTAGCCAAACCGGATGTTGGCTTTTTAATCGTAATGGCTAAAACCTATAATGGTTTTGACTTTTCCGGAATTTTTCACCGATTTTACAGATTCATTTTAAAATTTCAAGTGGGGCGCATTCCTCTCGGAAAAAAAATTCAAGTATAAAATCAATCATTGGTATCTTACGCGTATATTTGAACAATTTTTTTTCTCCGAGAGGAATGCGCCCCATGTTTAAAATTAATATTTATGAATGTCGTTTTGTCAGCTGGCGCATGCAGAAGCAAATTTACAATATATAATTTCATGTTATTTAAACCTCACATTGCAAGAATTAAATCTTTCATAAGAAAAATTACTGTAAGTTCTATAAACACGACCATAAATGCATTTTAGCATAAAGTACATTATTTATGCATGGTAAATAGCGTAGACTAAACAGATTTTAATTCTCCAGTTCTTAGTTAAATTAAAAACATTAAAAAATAGAAATGTATTCGCGTTAGTCTATGCTTTCCACATCTGCATGTCTGTTCTGGACCATTGTTTAACAGAAGCCCTCCAAAGTAGCCAGGTTTTAACCAGAATAGGTCTATTTGTTTTGGTTCTTTGTTTCAATATTTGACAAGTCGTCATTTTTTTTCTCATGATGTCACAATGTGCAAAAAATGACGTCAAACTTTTAAGGGAACTTCAATATTTTTCGTACTCGTGATGATTGTAGATCAATAACTCTAGATATTAAAAAAAAATTAATAAATGTTAAAAATCAAAATAAATAACATTATTACTATTTAAAGTTAGTACATAGACCTACATTATTCAATATATTCAGTGAGACTGTGTGTTACATATTCATTATCACGCATCGGGTAGCTAGCGAGCGATTAACTTGTAAACGTCTAAATACAGGTCAGATGTATATGATTACTGAATCTTTATATGTTCATATTTTGCTCGGACATTGATATTTTTCATTTAGTCTGAATATCAAAAGGTAGACAGCATGTTCCTGAGAGCGCGCGAGAGAGAGAGTGAAGGAGAGGCACTAATTTTTCAATAAGAATTTTATGCTTTTTAATAAATATTCCTAGTAAATGGCCCAATATATGCATCAAATCGTGATTTTTAAATATGTCAACCCAACTATGTGGCCTCGTTTTCCATGTGTATGCTTTAGCGTCGGGTGTGTCTATTACTGCCAACCAAAATATAAGCATCCTGTTAAAAAAAGCAACATAATATGTAATAGGAATAATGTAATATTTAGCCGGCATTTACATAAATAATGAATTTATCAATTTATTATCAGAATAATCTCAAAAGGAGGAATTGTTTCTATACTGTGTTTAATGTATGAATAATTATGACATATGTTATAAAAGAGTGGTAAAAAACTAGTTTCCGACAACGCTCATCATATAGGATGGATTTACTTTGACAAAAAAAACTTATAAGAGAGAACAATTTCCCGGAAAAAAGTGACATTTAGAAAAAAAATTTTGTCCTAGAAGTCTTTCAGGGCAGGCCTGTCCCTAAATAAAATTGTGAAAATTCGATAGATGGTGATGTAATGAATAATTCAAGATAAAAAAAAAATCAGGGCATCCTGTCCTATATAGGGTTAAATTCACAAAAACACCCCCCCAACCTGATTATTATAATGTGTTTTCAGTATAGTAAATCCTCATTTAAACATTCGAAAGGGGGGAGGGGTTGCACACACCCGAGGCATCGGCCCTGGATATGCCTCTGATTACGCGGCGTTCTTGCATTAGAAGTTTGCTAATGCAGCTCTCGGAAGTATTCGTTCAACGAATTATACAGTCCCTGAAACGTTCTACTTTCCCATTTTTCCGTTCGCTCACCGTTCGTTCACCGTTCGTTCAGCGTGCGTTCACCGTTCGTTCAGCGTGCGTTCACCGTTTGCTCTCCGTTCACAGTTTTGCGTTCACCGTTTACCGTGCGCTCGCGTTCACCGTTCACAAAACGTTCACCGTTCGCTTTTCGTTCCGTTTAGTTTGCGTTCACCGTTCACTTATCGTTCAGTCTTTATTGTCATTCGGAACTCCGAAGTGAAAGGACTTATCTTTTTGATGGTAAGGATTTACACGTTTTTTTAATTAAATAACTAAGATATCGTGTTTGAAGAATAATTATTTAAATGCAAAAAGTATCTACGATATATATATTTCAATTATTATAACTTAGCTGTTACTTTATCCATTTTTCCCTGGAAAAAATACATTAAGAAAATACATTTAAGTAGAACGATGCTAAAATATTAAATTTAAATAAGGGCAATGTCCCTAAACAAATATTTAAAGCGCGGCATTTCGTTATAATATAAAAGACGACAAAAAATCGTTAATAGATGAATAATAATCCAAGTCTTTTAGACAAGAATACACAAAAAAATTATAACAAGTTTTTAAAGAAAAAATAAACAAAAACATGCTAGAACTATATATATGTCTGAGAATTATGAATAGTACTACTTCTACAGATATTCAGTTAATTAAATATTTGTAGAGCGAATTAAATTATTAGTGTGATTTTAAATTTCAGAAAAGACAAACTGTTTAAAATTTAATACAATAGAATTTTTGGTTCTACATCACGTATATAAAGTGTATCATTACAAAGGAAAAAAACCTTCCTTCAAGTAACTAAATATACGTTTGCCATTCAGTATGATTAACAGCCCCCCCCCCCCCCCCCCCGGCACCCTTTCTCCCGAAATCAAATTTTTAGTTAGTATTTTCATTATATATTAATTAATATTCAATGTGTATTGTACATGTAACACAGAAAAATTATTCTTTATACAAACATCAAAACAGTCATAATATACATACATGTGCCGACAGTGGTATTTTGATTTGGCAGGGATTATGTTTTAAATTCAATTTCAAACTTAATCCTTCCAGGTATATACACGTATTGCAATATTTTATTCATTTTTTCCGTAGAAAAGCGAAAATCAATTTTAAAAATGATGTAAACAAAATGTTAAAACTTCTCGGGAATACGAAGTGACTCTTTGACTTCGGCATGTTCGGTGAAGCGAGATTTAAACACCTCCATTGTGTCGAATTATTTTGATTGACAGGACAAGCACGTGCACTTAGAGTGAATCGTTTGAACTTGAAGGAAAAAAAACGATGCTTACTGTGAAATGGATTTGTTAATAAAAAAAAATGATTACTTTGACTGCCTGGAATATTAGAAAAAAAAATAGTATATGAATTTTTATTCGATGCAACAAATCTCTCTCTCTCTCTCTCTCTCTCTCTCTCTCTCTCAAGTTTCTATCGCTTTTACATTTGTCATGTTAAGTAAAAACTATGACAACATATTTATTATTTATTTAGTTCTGAAATTCTAATGTATTACAACTAATACTTGATATCGCGATTACTTAACTTAGCGGAACTCTTTCGCGAAGGAGGTAGGAATCGTCTGTTGGATGGGGGCAATGTGCTTTTCAATACAATGCAAGATCGATCGTTGTAGCATTTATAAGGACAGATAAGTAAAAAATCCTGGTGAAATACCTCGCTAAGCAATCGCTGAACCAGCCTTATATATTTTTGAGAGGAGCCAATCCTAAATTGTCACATTTTTAACGATATTTTTAATTAAGCGGACTCTTCTCGTTAAATTTTCATTGAAAATCGTCACATTTTTAAGCAGATAAAATATTCTAAACTTTCCTTATTTGACAATCTACTATTTGGAGTTCAATATCTGGCAAAACATCGTGATTTCGGCATTAAATTGTTCGAATCATTCGATTGTCACTATCGTAAACAATGTCATTTGCCCCCAGAAATGTAGACTTTTCTCGACTCCCCCGCAAAAGAGCGGTAGTAAGTTAGATAACTGCGAGGTACTCATTGGTAGTCGCGATATAACGTATTTGAATGCTTCTATCCATTATCTTGTCCGAGTATAATCATTGTCGGGAAATGTCTTCAGATATACATTTACATGTAAAACTTAGCTTAGAAAATAACCAAACAAAATAAAAATAACTAATAAATATATAATATTATTGCATAAAATTTTTTAATACGAGTGAATGGTGCAATATGTCAACAGACCTTTATAAATTAATAAAAAAAATCGGTATTTTACACGGAATCGCCGTGACATCGAAATATATATTATTTAGTTTTAATCTAATAATTCATTCTGTAAGTATAGTAGTTTTCTCTTCTGAAGTCCACATTATTTTAATAGTCAAAAGAATAAGCAGATTTCTTTTATTAGTAAATTAATTTTATCTTTTATACGACAGGTTTTCGGTAACAAACACACATGTTTTACGGCAATAAAAATCGTGTTATTAAAATATTGATTTAAAACATCATACGTATGTGCAGAAAAATGTTTTAATTATTTATTCACTTATTTATTAATTGTTTATTTATATTTTAGCATCTAACATAAGAATATAACAGAATAATTTAAATGCAAGGAAAAAATCTGAGGCATTCCGAATAAATCGTTCATCTTGCGTTCACCGTTCGTTCACACGTTCACCGTTTGCGCTCCGTTCGCGTTACTGCGTTCACTCACCGTTCTCCGTTCACACATCGTTCACCAAGTTGCGTTCAGCGTTCACACACCGTTCGTTCACCGTTCGCTCTGCGTTCGTTCACCGTTCGTTCAGCGTTCGTTCAGCGTTCGCTCACCGTTCAGGTGGGAAAGTAGAACGTTTCAGGGACTGTAGGTATTGCTCGAAAATGCACAAGTGTCGAAAATACCCGGTAGTTGAAAATGTTGAAAAGCAGAAAGATGACATGGAAATATGGGACTTCATAACCTTGTCTTGTGATTGTCAATAAACACACTGTATTGATTATTTAAAATAAATCCATTTAATATTATTTTTTTCTAAAAACTTTGAATTGATGATTGTGATAACATTTTGCTAAAACATGAGGATGATTACTTTGAGAAAAAGAATATCTTCACAAGTCCATGCATAAAATATCAGGCGGTACCTCTTTCTTTGTTGGTGAATGTGTATGAAACACCGGGACTGTCTTACATATGAGGAATAAACATTAAACGCAGCACTTGTTCTCTACGTTATAACGTTATATGTGGTACCTATTTTTATTTTAACATTTAACCCCCCCCCCTGTTGCCACGTTCCTGGACTTGGCTATACAAATGCAGGCTGATTAGAATATCAAATGCATAAAGTTTGTGTAAATTATTAATAAATTTATTATTTCAAAACATTATCAATGTCCATAATGAAACGTTACAATGTATCTAATTATTTACGTGTACCGCGATAAACACACAGGCGCTAAATGGACACGCTGTCATTTTCACTTGTTCATGTACCTAAGCTTGTTTATACCTGACGTTATAATTTCAAATTAAGTTAACTTTTGTCAAATATTAAATTACTATCTGTAATATATTGTAAAACACGTTTTTGTCAAATTCTCATCAATTAATAAATATTTACCACTTTATTTATGAGAACTCAGAAGTGTTAAAATTCACAACGTCATTATGACGTTTCGTAAAATGTACGAAATTCGGCCATATACATATGCTATTTTGAAGACCTCTTACAGAAAATATGAAAGAGATATTGAAAAAAGAAAGTTGTTTTAAAAAAAGTTGTAGTCTGTAGATATATCCAGGGGCAAAACTGTCCTATTTTGAAATCAGGCCAATTTGTGTACTTTTTGACTTTTCCTCTTTGAACAAGAAATGAAACTATTGTTTGATGGCTTAATGCTGTACATTGTACAAAGTGCATACAAATACATTTCTTATGAGTGTGCTGTAACTGTGCGAAAAAAAAAACGGTTCCACATTTACCAGCTGATCAATTGTTTTTATAAATATATTAATTACCTGGTAGATAAACACACAACTGCTAAGTATTGCAGATAAAATGTGTACACACAACAACTGTTGTGAAATATAAACAAGCAGCACAAAAGTGTAGGGTCAAATGATTTTTCCGAATACCACAAGCAACATCATTAGTATTAAGGACATTGGCAACGTTTCTGAATTTTGTATACAAATTTTCAAAAAATTTTGAACAGGTTTAATGGTACCAAACATGTTCAATTCAGGTTCTTTTTTTACCAATCAAGCCAGCCTTCCTTTAAAGATTTTGTCAAACCAAAGTTTTTACAATCCTAAATGCATTTCCTTTGTAAAATGTTGATGAAATGTTCCAATATTATTTTGAACCATAAGGTTTTTTTTTTCCAAAACCCATTTATTTTATAAAGTTTATACATAAAATACATTGTTGAATCTTCATTTCTGATGACAAACATGTACCTTGGCTCAAATTGCAAATATAGAAACAAAACACAGAGAAACCAGCACTGTTCTTTAATTTTGAGTTACTTCCCTAAACATCTAATTATTATTCAGAGTGATCAAGAGACTGGTTGTTTGTTTCTATACTATAATTTACTTTACCGGTATTTGAAAGGACCTGTCATTAAACATTTTAGCAAGGGTTTATTATTAATTTTTAATGATGCCTCCTTCACAAAACTTATAAAATCGTTCTCATATGGTCTACCTAGCTATCACCACTTTCAGCATAATTATGTCAATTCTTTGCACTTCCAAGCATATTTGTACTTATTCTAAATGACGATCTGTTGAATATCGGCCCTCTCAGCACAATGTAAACAAACTCATCGCTGTTTTTCTTTTATTACTCTAGAGTTGAATACATCAGATAAAATACACACAGATGCTTTTGTTTACCTCACAGTCTGTAACACACTCTTTATTGGTTTTCACCGCCTAGAGAATTCCATTCGGGAGATCACTCTCAATGACTATTTTTATAATTGAAACAGCCTAGGTATAAACCCTTTTTCTCTGGAAACCCTGCATTGCCAATGACCATAAACAATGTTACATAATACTGCCAGGGTGTTATGCCCTGTATAGATACGTTGAAACATAAAAATATCCACGTCGATGGCAAATACCAATGAAAGATCTAATGCTCTTTGTATATTTCAGCATTCCTTATGGATTTAAATGCACTCATCACTGAGCATATGAGATCTGGTGATTTCCAAAATTGCGATGCTGCCAAAAGGTAATCTTTGGATTTCCTCGGCATAAATGTTCAACATGTTTGTTAACTTGACAAGCAATGTTGTTAAAAAATTTCCCACAACGGCGAGAAAACCTTCGCAACAATTGACCAATGATAATATGGTTAACAATGTACCTAATATACTCGTCTATAAGTCGGTCCGCCTGTAAGTCGATTGTATTTAATGAGCTTGTATATCAGATGAACTGACCGCATATAAAACCATACTTTTAATAGCTCGCCTATAAGTCGGACAAAGAGTTTTAGACCAGAGATTTACTCCCAAAAAAACGACTTATAGGCGAGTATATACGGTAAGCTTGAACGATAAATGAGGCGAAAGAAACAATATCGCACACTAATTTTGCAGGATTTGAGTCAACTAGAATATCATTGCCTCCGACCAGCAGAAAAAGCACTTGATGTAGAAATGTCTATAAGATATTCATATATTTTTTTTTTACAAACATTTTTGATTCAGTCGGACAGTTCCACAACCAATTCTTTTAAAACTTACATGAAATTGACTGGCATCAAGAAATATCTCTGTGAGATATGATAAATTTGTCAAGACGACAAATGAAGAAATGACCAGAAACTAATACCAGACAGGTCATAATGAATGCAAAAATATATTATAAAATAATAATGGTTCGCCTATACCTTTTAAACGTCCTTGCAGTGAGCAGCCCGATCAAGGAATGCCGCAAACGATTCAGACCCCTGGAAATTCCGGGGCGACACATATTCAACATCCAATTAAAAGCGCGCATTCCGAGGTATGCAGAATGATGCAGAGTTAACTGCGGCTGACAGCTTAAAATTAATTGCACTGAGTCATATTTCATTTTCAGTAATAGATTACGCGTAAACTCTAGATGCTTGAATTAAATAACAATATGACAAATACATAATAACATACTTATATCTAAACTTGTTGTCCTAAACTGTTTCATTTTCACATACAATTAATTATCCCATGTCAGTAGTTCAATTATTTAATTTTTTATGGAAGTATTGGTACCGTAATTATTGTACATGCATCCTTCGTATAATGTATAGTATTACGTAAAATTACGTAATGGAACTAAAAAGAATACTTCCTTCATTTGTTGTGGATCTGTTGATCAAATTGTTGAAGCCCATTTAGCTAAATATAATTGCACAAATGAGTGACGGGATGTGACTTATTGGGATGCAGTCGGAATTTCATCTACTCTATGTGAATGCAGCATATAGTTACATGTAAATGTTTGAAATAAACTATTTATGCTAATCGTATATATTTATATTATTATATAGTTATTTATAATTCAATCTATCCTGTCCATGGGCCCCTGGTACCATAGGTTAGGATTAGCCGGGAATATCTTGGGATATCTCATCTCGTTTTCTTTCTTAGTTGAAAATAAAAATTTGAAAAAAAAAATTGCCGATAGATGATTTTAAGGGTCCAATATAATGTTATCAGAGGGAAATTTTAAAATTCAAATTAGTTCCATACTACTCTGAACATTAAATACTTGATTATTTGACCGTTATCTCTACCCGATTTTAAAGTATAAAATTATTATGAGGATTGGAATCATATGTGTTACACTGTGTGTTCTCTTCCAATTCAATATACTGAATTTTTTTTCACATTAATTTGCTGAATGTGAATGTAACAAATTATGTAAGTGTGATTAAATTCCACTCAGGTGTAAAGGAGGAGCTCTGGATAATAAGTAGACATTCCTTGATTATGAAGATATCAATTTATTAAATGATATTGTAATTATAAACTCCAAAAGTATGTCAGCTACGAACGTACAATAGGCGGTTGACATCAACACAATTTAATAAGAATGTGAAGGTTTTATAATTTTCTTCTCAGTGGTATACATTGTATTCGGAATTACGTTTTAGAAAACGATACTTTCTATGACATTGTCTGTCTGATGAGAACATAAAATTATTCTCTAGTAATGGAAAAGGAGGTACTTTACATTTTGTATGTTTTGACGAACTCTTTTGTGATTTATGCCGAACTACTTTTTAAGAATGATCCCTGTTAAAATGAATTCATGAAAGTTTACTGTATTTTTTTATGCAAGGGACCAATTCAAATTCGTTTCTTGAGAAGGAAATAAGTTTAAAAAAAAAAGACACAATCATACCCCTTCAGTTTTTATTCGAAATTCGAGAGCGCGGTGATGAGACAATCACAGTCCACAATCAATATTTGAAGATCACAGATAAAACTATACATAAAGTTTTTTTCTTTCCATTTAAAAGTATCTTTGTTGTTAAACAAGATAAAAGCAGAAAAAGTAAATTTTCACAGTATTGTATTCCTTACATTAAGTTGACATGATATCACATGATCCGCTACTTAACCTTCATGCAAGGATCAACTGTGCATGAAGTCTCGCCAAAAGAAAATGGAAAAAAATAATATGTATATTAGTTTTTCAACTTGATTCTTCAATTTAACAGTAGACCAAATGATCTTTCCAATAAACTCATGGTCTCATATTTTTCCATTCTTTTTACTCTGTTAATTACTTGTACGGTGTTTTTTGATTTACAAATACAGATTTTTTGAAATTGTAAATTAAAATTTATCAATCTCCGCCCGGTTTATTATATAAGCAGAGAAAAATGGCTATATATTCATTTTCATGATACATGTTTGTAGAATATAAAAAAGAAATAGTGATCTATAGTAAATATCATTTCGTCATCTTTTATATGTTTTAATTATTCCAAAAAATACTTTCTTAAAACTTATTTGTATCCCTCTTTCAATAATTTGAGTCTGTCTGCCCATCAGTCTGTCTTTGTGTGTGTCTGTATTACTTTCGTTTCAGCCTGATATCTTTAAAAGCCTCTAAACTTAAAATATCATTTCCCTAAAAATCTTCCAATGACCTCTGACAGATTCCGATTGCTTTTAAGTAAATCAACCAAAATTCAAGGTCATCAATTCCTAAAATCGTAAATGCTTCCGTTCCTGCAAGATATCTCGAGCAGCATTTGAGCATTTGTTATGAATTTTGATACAATTATCTATGGCATAAGAAGAATCTATATTTGATTTGAGGCCAAAAGGTCAAAGATCAAAGTCATAAATCCAACAGATATATCCCTATTGTTTACTTCGTGCGATATCCAGAGCAGCCTTTGAAGTTGTAGTAAAATTTTAAGCCACAACTAACTATGGGTTAAAAAAAATATTATTGAATTTGAGGTCAAAAAATTAAAGGTTAAAGTTGTGAAATTTCATTAACACTACAGTAGGAATTAGTTTTCTATACCTAACTTCTTTCTTTTTGGTTGTTGATACGAAAAAAAAATTTAGAAAAATTCTGGGTCCAAAACATATCCAAATTTCCCCACGTTATTAATAGCTTGATTTGATGAATGTTTCATTACATCTGATGTTTGATTAACAAAATGGGACATGATCATAATTTGTTCCTTATACGTATTTTAACAATCTCTCCTCGAGTGCGTTTAACGCTCTGCTATGTACAACTTCTCTGTTATTGTATAAACGAACTTATTTTTCTAAATATTTCAAAAAATAATAAATAGGTTTCTTATAAGGTTATAACGAATTACGGAAAAAAAGCAAATTGATCAAGTGTCAAAAAATGTTCAATGTATCTCAATCGGTAGAGCGTATGCTCGGAGATCGAAAGGTCGCGTGTTTAAATCACGGATTCAACAGAATCTGTAGTAAGTGTTTCTTTGCCAAGCTCTCGGCACTTTTAATTGAATTTTGTGAGTCCTTCGGATATGATGTTAAATAGCGAAGCCCCTTGGGACGGTAAGCTTTGGTACAACATGTACGATGAAGAACCCAGTCTGCTCAATGTCTTTCGTGTGGAGAAAAGGTCTAAATTTTTAGCCCTTTACAGTATATGTGAGGTCTTTAAATAACTTTAAAATTCATGAAAATGATCTGTCATACACTTATACTGAATTTTGTATGAGGAGTGTCGACATGCCTTATGTTTCATACTATTTGTACTTAAGATACGTAAGACTAGGTGATGCAATATATACAGCTTTTACGTAACTTTAAAAATAGACGGGAAGATACTGCTAAAAAATTCCATGAAAATGAAGACAAAAGGCATCAAATCTCCATTAAAGCAGTAATGGCCCTCTTTTAAACGCAATAACAGAAAACAATGTAGACCTTAGGAATCATTCTTTAAATAACAAGATGTGTTTGTAAAACACTATACACCTGGCGGCAACAAAGTTCTTAAAAGCAATTTTTAGTATAAAGGTCACAGTCAAGGTCACACTTCATTGTCCTTAGGTTCATTTGGAAGCACTTAATTAGTATAGCATGCATACCAAATATAAAGTTTATATCTCCTATGGTTCAAAAGTTATGGCGAAAGTTCGGAAAAGCTATTTTAACAAATAGGTTACAGTTAAGGACACAAGGTCATTGACCTCATTAATATTTGAAAGAATCTAATTTGTGGAGTATGCATACCAAATTCGTGCATGAAGTTTTTTTCTCCTATGGTTCAAATGTTATGGCGAAAGTTGGAAAAGGTATTTTCAGCGAGTATGTCACAGTCAAGGTGAAAAGGTCGGTTAATTTGCTGTCAGTTGAAAGTGCTTAATTAGTGTAGTATGCATACCAAATATGACGTCTCTATCTCTCATGGTTCAAAAGTTATGGCGAAGGTTAAACAACAAACAGGCTAACAGACAAATAGACAAACAGATAAACAGACAAACATATAAACAGATAAACTGACAAACAGACAGACAGGAGAAAAACAATGTACGCCCCAAATGAATTCGGGCGCATAATAATAGGATAAATTATGCTTCAGAATCATAAAATATACATCTTCTTTGTCAAATCCACTTTGGTTTATAGCAAAGCACCCTTATCAACTGCATAATATGTTTTTTATCTCCCAGTTTGTTTAATGCACAAGGATATGCTACATGAATGAATATTTTCTAAAAAATAGGAAAGCTATTGATGCAAGCAGTAAAAAAAATCATAAATTACGAAAACCAACAGTTCCGTTTATTGTCATCATTTCACAAGTTAGACATGGTCGATAAAATGACTTTGTCAGCAAAAACAATCATTTTCTTTTTATTTATGATCAATGCTCTACCTTTTCCTAACCCCAATGCTTATGGAGATGTGCACTGGTACGTTGAAACGTCCTCTAGAATATCGCAGTGCACCCTGTGTCATCACTCAACTACACATATTTGGCGTTATAATAGGAAATTATATGCAGTCATTGTAAACTTAAGTTGTCATTTATTTAAGACCTATTTCAATTTACATGTGAAATATCAGAAGTTATTTCTGAGACATAACTAAATTGTACTCGTAGATCTTTAATTATACTTCTAAATATTTTTAAATAATCTTAATTAAACCTACTAAATTTCTGCTTGTTCAAAATTCCATAGAAAAAAATGCTTTTAAAATGAACTCTTTATTATTCCTTCGATAAGAGGTAGAATTTATTATATGTGTAAAAAGAATTTTTTCGCTGGCGATTAATGCGGAAGAATTCAATTTCCATAAGTGTACATGTCCGGAGGATTTTTTTTTCTTTAGCCGATTTTTTTTCTTTCGGAAAATGTGTGAATGCATTTGTTTTTTGTTTTTCTTACATTTTACAGTTTTGAGTGGAAACACTTCCATG